ACTTACTGGTAGTCTGCGAGGATCTTGTGGGCTTCTTCCTCGCGTCCGTTCTTGACGAGCCAACGAGGGGATTGGGGTACGAACCATGTTCCAAGGCAGAGGATGAGGGGTCCAAAGCCCTGAATCAGGTTGGGAACGCCCCACGACCACGAAGACGTGCCCGGGTAGTAGACCATGGCAAGGTGAGCCATGCCGCGAAGATGGATCCGATTTGCCAATGTCAGCGTACGCTTCGAGAAGAACAGATGCTCTTCCGGGACTCACGAAGTAGGTCACGTTGAGGAAACTTCCTGCCCAATGACGGATACGAGGGTGGGCCAACTCGGGGACAAGAGCAGAAGCGCTGATCTCTGCGCCGTTTTCAGTTGACATGAAGCCGCCGGGACACATGTGCTCCAGGTTATGGTGGATAAACGTACGAGCAGCGGCGGTGCCGATACCGAGAAGGATTCGGGATCCCATTAGTTGCCCGACATTCTGAGCGAACCCGCCAAGCATGAACACGGCGCCGAGGTAGAGCGTGAGTTTGCGGCCGTACTTGTCTACTAGGTAGGCGATGATGAAAGTCATAGGGATTTTGGGCAGGTAGTAGGTTGCGGCGATAAGCCCGAGACGGGTCCCAGAGGGGGCATCCTGGCGAAAGTGAGTTGACATCCAGAGCATAATGGGCAAGGGATGCCGGACTCACAAAGTCCTTGACCCACTCTGGGAGAGCTTGGAGACCGGTGAGCAACGAACCATCGTAACCAAGCGAATAGACCGCCGAGTAGAGGATGAAGATGTGGATGAAGCGTACAAGTGATGAGTCGTTCTCAGCACGTGGTCGGGACAGCACTGGTTGGACCGAACAACTCACCTTTGCGCATCCCGCCATCCTTCCACCAGCTCGACGCGGTGTTATTAGTGAACTGAGCATAATGCTGTCCGTGAGACATGGTGCCAAGGTGAACTGCTCTCGTTTGAATTGTGGATTGGGGCCCGTGATTGGAGCACCGGGACTTGTTTCTGTGGGTTCTCGGGCACTCGGGGGTTGGGAAATGGCCCCCTCCTCTCCCTCACCTCTTTATACTTCGCCAGGCCTCCAGACTACCGCGAAAGACCGTGTCTTTCCAACGGCCCGCCCCCTGCCGCCCGGCCATAAGCTCTCAACCGCCGTTTGCCCCAGGTCTAATGGGGATTCGAGTTGTTTCCCATGGCGGGGCCACATGCCCCTCACAGCCGCCTCTCAGTACCTGAGTCGGAGATCGGTCCAGGGTGCGCGCGTATCGTTATAATGTCCCGCCGGCGTCAAAGCAGACGATGCACACGACTGGCTTGTGCTTGGCTGGGCTTCCTTCGTGCGCTTCTGCGCTTCGAAGGAGCAATGGTTTGGTATCACACCTCCGGACTGGAACGTGGAAGAGCAAGATGAAAGGACCATTCTATAACCCGCCGGTGGATTGCCACACTTGTGAAAGGAGGGGCCGAGTCCCAAATGGCCTCGGACTGGACACCACAAAACCCACCGCGGCAGAATGAGTGCACCAAACGTCCGAGAATCGGTCCGAAAACCGGTCAAGGCTTTGTGCGGACACTTCTCTCCCGCCGGCAGCAGTTATTGCGAGAACAAGACGGTTCGAAACAGGGAAGGCTGGTCATCATCTAGATTATGGGCTACATTTTGGGTCTGGCAGCGCTGTGAAGCTCTGTTCTACCCGTCTACGGTACTTATGGCTCGAAGCAACGGGCCTGGCCCTCAGCAAGCCGAGGGAGAGCCGCCTAACGAGCAGAGAGTAAGCTCTCCGGTCATGATTGATTTCCAGAGCTTGAGGGCGTCCCTAGCGTCCGTTTCCATCATACCACCAAGAGAGAGGACAAAAGGTCTGAATGATTGGTCCGTGGGCGGGTGTAGGCGTCGTTTCTCCCTTCCCACGGCGTTGTGTTTCTCGACGAGTTTGGTGGTTCTTTCGGCCGCAGAGTGATCCTCGGTGGTTGCCAGTGGTAGAGTGGCGGTCTGGGAATCCTGGGACGCCAGTGAGACGATGATGATATCAATGTCCTCGCTTGAAAGCCCACTGGCGGCCGATCCGGTGATTCTGATGTCGTTCCAGCGCTGTGTGCCAGTGATGAGGGGTTCGAGGTGAACCTGGACCCCCTCTACCGTCGCCAGGGCTTGTCCGATCGCTTGTTTGGCCTGTTCGTGCCGTGCCACGGTCCAGGGGGCTCTCCTGTGGCATATCTCGTCGTGTCCTAACTGGTTTGGCGCTCCACAGTGCCTGCAATGAGTCGAGGCCCCTGGAAGCAGAGTCCGTGCGTGTAGGGCTGCCGTGACTTCGAAGTCCGTGAGCCGGAGGGTTGGGGAGAAGGATATAACCGAGAGCCAGTTTCTTCCAAGCAGGGAACACGCCTCAATGACTGATTTAGCGCTCTGCGGGTCCAAGGACTCGAGGAGTGAGTCCCTGGTCGATAGGAATGCTGCCTGGCACCGTTCTCGCTGCGAGAGGACTGTTTGGTTGGCGGTGTCGATGTCCTGGTCGAGGAGAGTTGCCAAGGGGGCGTCAGAAGCCTCAGAGGCTGCCGCGTATGAAAGAGGGGCGCATGTCTTGAAGGATAGGATGCCGAGGCCGCCGAGTTTGACCGGTAGGGCAATAAGGGCATTGTCTATGGCCAGGGACGGCGCCGGTGACGCTGCGGAGCGGATTCTGCGCACGGAATTGGCCCGGGACTCGTCTAGTCGTTTCCAGAGGTGTTCCAAGTCGTCTGAGTGCAGGGAACGCTGCAGGTGTCGCAGGCTCTGCTGTAGACACTGTCGTAGGACCAGCAGCGCATGCTGGTGAGGCAAGTCGACCATTTTGGCTAGCAAAGCTTCCTCTGCAGCAATCTTAACCTCAAGGAAGATCGCTCTCACGGCTGTGGGTCCAATGCAGCTGTCGAGGAGCTGCATGCGTTCCCTTGCCTCCTGGAGTGCAATGGTCTTACTCTTCGCCATGTTGAGTTGGATGGAAGGTTGGCGAGCAGAGAAGAAGACTTGGACCTCCTCCAGGGCATTGGGAGCATTGCTGAGGATGTAGATGTCGTCGAGATAGGCTAGAATGAGCCGTTCGGGTCCAAGGGTCGATGCGAGGTCGTCAAGGAGCTGTCGGATGCCGGGCCCGACCGATGGACCAAGCACGGGCGACATCCCATCCGAGGAGGATATCATGGCAGCCTTCAAGACCTTCAAGCCAGACACCTCACTGGGTCTGTCCGGATGGACGCACCGCCTGTTGGCAACTGCCCTTCGGGTGCCGGCTTTCCTCAAAGCAATGCACACGCTCACCAGCCTCATGGTAGGGGGGACGGCCCCAGGCCAGGCGATCCTATGCACCAGCAGGCTCACACCGCTACGCAAGCCGGACGGTGGCCTCCGCCCTATCGCGGTAGTGGACATGATCTACAGGCTCGCGCCCAAGGCTATCATCCGCCACTCCAACCGACGTGACTTCCTGCTGCCCTACCAGTTTGGTGTCAGGAGCAAACACCCATCTCACTTCGGTCGACTTTAGCAATGCGTTCAACGCTGTCGACAGGCCTGACATAGCCGAGGGACTCCGTCACTATGCTCCTGTCCTCTACCGGGCCGGGAGATGGGCATACGGCTCCACTTCCGGCCTTGTGCTCAGTTCACCTGAGGGGAGACACGTTATCACCTCGGCCCAAGGTGTCAGACAGGGTGACCCGATGGGACCGCTCATGTTCTCTCTCGGGATACGCTCACTGCTCAGGGACCTGGTATCGCCACCCTCGGCCCAGACCGACTCGTCCTGGCCTACCTCGACGACATCTACATCCTCAGCCCAGATGACTCGGCACTGGAGCAGACCGTGGCCTTCTTTGACGAGCGGCAGCCATCCATCCGCCTCAACCCGGCCAAGTGCAAGATGCTTGCGTTTGAGGATATCAGGACCGACGGCCTTAGGATGCTGGGGACCTGCGTATGAGCACGCTCCGCCAGGGCACAGTTCCTCCAGGAGAAGATGGGCCACGAGGCAATGACAGTGGCCAAGCTCATCAACCTGTCGCACCAGCATGCTCTACTCGTCTTGCGGGTGTGTGTGCAACAGAACTTGCGGCAGCTGCAGCGGTCCCTCACGTCAGACGACCTCGTTCACCTATGGGACAAGCTCGACACCACCGTGAGAGAAGCCGTGGCCAGGATCCGAGGCCTCCCACGCCCTACGGACCAGCTAGACGCCGCGGTCATCTCTCTCCCAAACAAGATCGGTGGGTTAGGGATCTTGTCATACAAGACGGTTGCAACCCACGCCTATGCCGCAGCGTCAGAGGCAGCAGACGCTACCCATCCTCACCCCCGAATCACTTCCGGACAGCACCCAACTTACCACCCAACACCAACGCTGCCAGGAGATCTTTGCGGGGAACAAGGAGACGCTGCTTTACTATCAGACTCGAGATGTAACTCCCTAACTCCTAAGTTGGATCTCATGCCAGGGTGAAGAGGACGCCGGAGAACCCACACGCAAGACGAGTGCTTCGAGGACGGGATGGACATGCTCAGAGCTTTCCACTCACGACCGTTTCCGACGGTTTTTCGACCGTCTCCACTACGTGAGCCAATGCCGCCTGAGACTCGGGGAGCAACCGACCCCCTCGTTAAAGGGGGCACCCGGGTTGGGCGGTCGACCCCCCCTCCCCCCCCCCCCCCCCCCCCCCCCCCCCCCCGGGGCCCGTTGAAGACGGTTCTTCGCGTTTCGGGCAAAGCCGACCCCCACGGTCGAGGGACCCCAATCCCCGGTTATTTCATTTTGCTGTAAACGCCGTCTGCAACCGCGGGGGGTTGAGGGGTGATGGCGTCAAACACGCGACGGCCGACCAGAGAGGTTGAAGTGCTGCATTCGATGTTTCCTTCTACGATTCAACTGTTTGAACAGTGACTTGACATTGACCTTTTTGGTCCTTGCTAAAGACTATGTACGTTCACCGAAAACGCTTCACTTGTTGGCCTTCCATGAATCTCAGCCCTACAGAGACGAGATCGGGATCACGCTGACCCAGATATTTTGCTTGTTCTCCGAGTAGGCCACGAGAAGATTGTCACCGGCCTGGACAACCTCGGGATAGGAGAATCCCTTGTTCTGTAACGAAATCAGCGTGGTGCTGGCATCAGATGAAAAAATACGGCGCACTTTGAAGCCGCGAGTCTGGGACGCTTGAGTTGGCGGGGTTGGTCGCCACCACGCCGATATGCTTGAATGTCCAGCTGTCGTCGGGGTCGTCAAGGCCCTGCCATGCCAACGTCAAGGGGAAGCGATCCCCGGCGGTGTTGTTCCGGGGGTTGGATGCTAGGTAGCGGACGGTCGGGTTGGACGGGGTGCTAAAGTACCCAAAGTACTGCGGCATGATCACCAACAATTGTCCTCTGACGAGAAGCGTCGCGTACCTGCTTCGTCTTAGCGTCGGTGATATCCGTCTGCATAACGGGATGACTGTCGTTCGAGACAGTATTGCCGTCGATGGGAATGTCGTTGGGGTACCACTGTGACGAGTTGCAGGTACACTCGGTCCAGACCGCCATCGAGTTACTGGTACTGGAGATATCCCGCCAGAAGCGTTGCCAGCCATAGTTGATAGGATCCCAGACGGAGTGCGTGGGCTCTTGCAGGTCGTGTGCGTGGTCGGCGGCATAGAACTACGGTTATCAGCGTCATTCACCGCAGATGATGCAATCAATGGCTCACCTTGTTGTTGTAGAGCACGGAGGACCAAGCGGGAACCTCACCCGGGTAATCGAGCACCTGGTTGAGAAGATCGCTTTCGTGGCAAAACGCCATGCCCCATTGGGTACCGTGGACCGTCTTGTCGAATGCTAATGGGCCGTACGTGAACTCGTTCTGGTAGAGCCAGCAGGGCGGACCTGATGGTCCTCCCCTCGTCAGGTTCATCGGGCGGGCGATGCGGCCTGCCCCGCGGGTGTACTTGACGTGTAACAATTAGTCTTATTGGTCGACGCAGAGCGAACAACAATGCTCACGGAGCTTCCAAGAGTCTTGTTGTTGCAAAAGAAATTGGAGCTGTCGGCGACGGCGTAAACCATCTTGGTCGCTGGTCACTGGATCACCGAGACTGGACCCCAAGCCCGCTGAGGGACACCCAAGTGGCACCTGTCAATCTCACGGTCAGCTCAGCTAGGCAATAACAAAGCCAATCCGAGTCACGAACCACCCACCAGTAGGTAAAATTGTGTTCCTGCGTCTGGTTCGGAAGCAGGGCACTTGGCAAGATAGCCTGCGACTCGGTCCATGTAAAGCCGCCATCGTGGCTCACTCCGCCCCAGATTTCCTGGCCCATCGAATCCTCATCTTGCCACTCCGACGAATGGATGAGCACGATCGTGCCGTCCACATTGAGCATCAAAGGGTGGTGCGAGTACGTCCTACCGGCCTTGACTCCGTCGTAGAACTTGACACGGGCCGAAACATCGAGATACGGCCATCCCGCTGTTAAATTGTTCGAGTAATCGATTGCTGGAACATCCCAACGCTTGGTTCGGCACAATGTCTGGGCTTGGTTGAGCTCAGACGAGTTCGCGGCGCACTGCCAGGCGATGGTCAACGAGGGGAGAAGGGATACAGTGGTGCAGAGATGTCGAAGCGACGTCTTGAAACGAAGGGACATCGTGAATATGTAACCAGACGAGTAATGGTGAAGCGGTCGAAGCAATTCGATAGTCTGGGTGCACCTGGAAGCGAGATCACATTACTGACGGAGGAAGTTGAGGTGTGCTATGACAAGACTCGCCATTTATGGGAAGTCAATGCATGACAGCTGATTTCGGCTGGGCCGAAACTGTCCTGATGACAGAGACGACGTGGCAGTCGTGCTTTGTAGAGGAATAGAGGAAGCCTCTCGCCGTGCATCGAATCATGGGCCCGATTGGGCGCGTCACATGATCGAATTTAGTGTGAATTTCTCGGGCAGGTCGTCGACTCGAAGTCGGATGCGGCCCGAATCTCTCCTCGTCACGATTCCCCAGCCGGTGCTCCGGAGGTCCCCGTGAACTCGGCACAATGTCCTGCCAGCTTCGCGTGGGGCAGAGCGAGTCCCACTGGAAACTCCACACCCGGTTCAAGACATAGTCCGGCTGCGCCCTCTTTCCGCCACCACAAGGCGGTGGAGGGGACAGTCGACATCCACTGCTGAGTGACGGATTGGCAAAGCAGAAGCATTTGAAGCAAAGATCTTGCTAGCTCCTTCGTAGCGTCCGACCTCTATGGTTCGCTCGAAATAGGCGAGTCTCAGCGAGAGTCGTTTCTAAGATCCACGAAATATGACTTCAATGACTTAAGGATCTCGTCGGTAGCTAAGTCAAGGCTTGTCGTGTTGAGACGACTCGATTATGTGCTCGGTTCAGTAGGCTCGAGCCAGGCCACGGTGGCATCCACTACAGGATGACCGAGCAGGACCGTGCCGTGGCGGTTCCATGAAAAATAGAGAGGATGAGAGAGTCGCCTATTGTTCTCTAGAAGTGTGGGAAGCATAAGAAGGAAGCTCGAGTAGTAGTCGAGATGGATGCATCCCTCCCCGGTTCGTAGCCTACAACAGTTTTGAGTCAACTAGGAGGAACGCGGTCATCTCCTTAGTGTGCGTACCATCCTCTCGGCAGCTCCGTTGAGCTCAGGTGTGTATCGTGGCGAGATGTAATGCTGAATTCCAGTAGTGCGGTACCACTCGATCGCCTCCGAACCGGCCAGGGATGGATCGATCTCGACTACTACTCGAGCTACTCTTATGCCGCTTCCCACTCTTCTACAGACATGCCGTAATAGGGGCGACCGAAGCGACCATGACTTGGCTCGAGTCGGTTGCCAAGCGAGCACGGGGCCGAGCCGTCTCAGTACTCCCACTCGAGGTTGCGTGCGAGCGTGAGAGGGTATATCCTATGAACGAGACTGAAGGCAGAGCATGTCGACAAAGCGAGTGAACGTGACCGGGGGCAAGGGCTTGGTGAGCCCATCAGCCAGCATGGCAGTGGTCTTGACATGTTCGATCGAGAGGACCGAGCGCTCGACCAGCTCTCGAAGATAATGGAACTTGATATCGATCTGCTTCGCTCGGGTGTGACCGACCGGGTTGTGAGCGATGGCGATCGAGGCCTGGTTGTCTCCATAGAGCTTGATTGAGCGCGATGGTGCAACCCGAGCTCGGTGAGGAGCGAGCGAAGCCACATGGCCTCTCGAGCGGCCTGAGCGAGTGCGACGTACTCGGCATCACTCGTTGCAAGCGAGACCGAAGGTTGCCTGTTGGACTGCCAGCTGATGGGTCCACCCCAAAGCCTGAAGCAGTAGCCACTGGTAACTCGACGTCGAGATGGATCACTCGTTGCGAAGTCGGCGTCACTGAACCCATCCAGTTCGGTCTGACCGTCCGAGAACTCGATGCCGAGCGTGCGAGTGTGCTTGAGGTACATGAGGACACGACATGCGGCCATCCAGTCCTCGCGCGAGGGGTCGCTGGAGAAGCGTCCGACCAGGCCTACCGCATAGGCAATGTCCGGTCGAGTTCCGAGCATGGCATACATGAGCGAACCGACGACCGCGAGGTATAGAGCGAGGTCGGCCTTTTTCTCATCGGCTGCTCGTGGCTTGAGGATTGTCTTCGCTCGGAGGGGGGACTTGGCTGGCTTGCAGTCTTGCATATTGAAGCGAGCGAGGATCGAGTCGATGTACTGTGTCTGACACAGGGAAAGCGAGCGCTTCGCTCGATCTCGCGTGACCTGCAGGCCAAGAATGAAGTGCAACTCTCCCAAGTCCTTCATGTCATATCTCTTTGACATCTCTCTCTTGAACTCTTCGAGCGAGTCGAGTCGAGCCGCCGCAATGGTGAGGTCATCCACCTAGACTCTCACTTTGATGAGATCATCTCGAATGCCTCGAACGTAGATGGAATGGTCCGAAATTGTGCGAGTGAAGCCGAGCTCCTTGAGGCTCGAATCGAGCGTTCGATACCACGCTCGAGGTGCCTGCCTGAGGCCACAGAGTGACCTGTCCAGCTTCCACACCATGTCCTTGCCTCGCTCGAAGCCTTGGGGTTGTTCCATATAGACTGTCTCTTCGAGGGGGCCAATCTTGACGTCCATTTGATGGAGCTCGAGGTCGTTCATGGCGGCCAGAGCGAGGATCGTTCGAATGGACTGAAACTTTGCGACTGGGGCGAACATCTCGTCGTAGTCGATCCCTGCTTGCTGGGTGAAGCCTCGAGCGACCAGTCGAGCCTTGTACCTGTCAATCGAGCCATCCGCAAGCCTTTTGATCTTGAACACCCACTTGCTGGTGACAACTCGACCTCGAGTGCTCGATCGCGGCACAAGGTGAAAGACCTTGGCCTTCTCGAGTGAGCGCATCTCGTCCTCTGCAGCTGCCTGCCACTGCTAGGCATCGATCGAGTTCATGGCCTCGTTCTAAGAGCTCGGCTCATCGTTCGAGCTGGCCTGAGATGCCAGCGCTGCAAATGCGGGACTACTTCGTAACACCAGCGTCCAGGCAACAGCTTGCTATGAACAGGATGGAGGGGTATGCCTGCCTTGCTTAAGCTCCCTCGCACCGGACCAAAGTTGCCTGGTATCGAGCATGAATCATTGGGAGTGTCATGCTACGTCTCCCACTATTTCTCCCTTCGCGGCAAGTCCCCAACTGGCCCTTGCACGACGTCAACCTCAAGAGTTTCTGTGCCCGCCTCTTCAAGTTTGGGTTCCCCCAATGTCGTATGGCTGGATGTTCGCACGAATGGTCGTACCCCAGGGTCCAGAGCAAATCCTCTCAGCCCATTTCGGAGAGCTCTTCCCTGAGCCATATGGATAGATACCGTTGAGCCAGGCGGCTACTGGGAAGAGAGGCGTACTGCTGCGACCTCGTGTGATCTCGAGTCGTAAGGCATTGCAGAGTCAGCGCATAGAAACGCAAAAGTCCACAGAATTCACAGATGTCGGTGCAGCGGCAGACTCATGGTCTGCGAGTTGGAAATAACATCCGAGAGGCTGATCCTTCACACTGCGTAGCATTAAGCGTAAATACGGTTCGATCGACCGCGGACGGATTCATATTCCTGGTGTCTCCGAATAGGCACCCGAGTTTATGTTACAAACCTTCAACTTTAGCGTCACCCAAGTATTTCGAAGCGTAGTCTGTGGATACCGAAAAGGCACCGGGGTCTTTTCCGAAGCGGTATGTAAAGTATGCGTGTTGATATCGGCATCACTGGGGGAGCGCGCCTGCTTCAGTGATAGACAGAGGGGGCAGGGTTTCACACTCAATTTCCTATTGCTGCTGCAGCCCGCGGAATCTACGCGCAACTTCGCACACTGCGACTGCATCGGACGCTGCGCGCTCCTCTTCCGTTCCGCTGACATCCCATCATCACGTTGCTCAGATACGTCGTGTGATGCCAATAGCGACCCGCGGTTTTGATGTATATCAACAAGCCAATTCGCCCCCGATTCTGACTGCCAACATCTTCCTCGACTTTCCCTCACCACATTACGACTTCGACTGCATCGTCGCTTGACCCCATCCTCTTCCATCGTCCTCGCTTGAAACTAAGTTTGGGCCTTGAACGCGCTTTTAATACTCAAACGGCCTTCCCACGTTTGCAAAGCTAAACTCCATTCAATACGCTGATCACCAAACTTCATACTCGGTATGGATGATTCGACCCCGATCGGAACGTGGTACCTCCTTGCCAACACCTCGAGACTCGAACTGACGATCCGAGCCGCCGGTGCTGACTTCGTCGCAACCATTGCGAACGAAGGCGGATCGCAGGAACCAGTCAGTCAATTCGCTTGGAACGCCCAGGATCGCTGGTTCGAATTTCCGGCGAGATGGGCCCGGCTTCTTCCAATGGTATAAGGTCTGCATAACCAATGGCGTAATGGCCGGACGTTTTTCCCACTCCACCTTCGCAGATAAGCCAGGGTTGGTCGCGTACGCCTGGCACATGACAGGATCGAGCCCAAACTGGCTCGACGCCGGCAATACCCCACGAACATGGAACCTGACAATAAACGGTGTCTATCACGCCGTGCTCCGTGTTGAGCACGATGCTATTGGCGCGCTGCAAGAACGTCTCAAAGTATATGACAATAGCAGCGTCTCTGGACCTCAGGAGGAATTGGAGAATGATCTCGCCTCTATTACCTGGGACGGAACGAATCTGTCCTTCTTGCGAAATGGTCCTGGCTTTTCGCAAAAGTATACCGGAACTGCGAACGGCCGGTTTGTTGGCGGTACATTCCCTCATAACGGTGGCGCGCTCGCGCCGTAGAATAGCGCTCGCGGTGAGGTCCTCGGATTCGGGCTCGGCTCGCGCCTCGCCCACCGAGCTGCATGGCAAGAAGCGCAACGCGCCCGCGTCGTCAATCTGACCGAAGGAATGCGCCTTGCAAATGTTGGGATTCCCGCAGTCACGGTGGATGACCTGGGCCCGGTTCCCCAGTTTACAGGCGGGTCCTACCCGGCCGAGCGCGATGACAATCCCGACACATGGCCACCCAATTATTCTCTGCACAGCCTCCAGTTCACCGTGTCCCCCGGCAGCCGCTTTGATCCGGCTAGCCCACCAGCACCCCGCGTATACAACGGCTACATCGCCAGGCCGATCGGGCTAGTTCCGGCCGCCGG